CCCTCCAAACTGCCTTTAAAGTGCAGGCATTGTACTTCCCATTTCCAGGACTCAGGTCCGGCTATATAAAAATAACCTGTTTCCCTGAATCTCTTCACTAAATATTACCCTGCTCACACTTCAACAATGCGTCAGGTCCCAAGTACCATTCGTCTCCATTCACTCCTATCCAACATGCTCACACACGCTTGCTGGAAGTCCAAACCCCTCTCCCACAAAACCTCCTTTACCTCCTCCCTTCAACCTTTTTGAGGATGGCCCCTACCCTGCCTTCCTTCCCCTACAGATTTATACGCTCTCCATGTCATTCTACTTCGATCCATTCTCTCTAAATGACCAAACCACCTCAACAACCCCTCTTCAGCCCTCTGACTAATACTTTTATTAACTCCACACCTTCTCCTAATTTCCACACTCCGAATTTTCTGCATAATATTTACACGATGCATTGCCCTTAGACAGGACATTTCCACTACCTCCAACCGTCTCCTTGCTGCAGCATTTACAACCCAAGCTTCACACCCATATAAGAGTGTTGGTACCACTATACTCTCATACATTCCCTTCTTTGCCTCCATAGATAACCTTTTTTGTCTCCACATATACCTCAACGCTAAACTTGCTTTTTTTCCTTCATCAATTCTATGATTAACCTCATCCTTCATAAATCCATCCGCTGACACGTCAACTCCCAAATATCTGAAAACATTCACTTCTTCCATACTCCTCTTCTCCAATTTGATATCCAATTTTTCTTTATCTAAATCATTTGATACCCTCATCACCTTACTCTTTTCTATGTTCACTTTCAACTTTCTACCTTTACATACATTCCTAAACTCGTCCACTAACCTTTGCAGTTTTTCTTTAGAATCTCCCATAAGCACAATATCATCAGCAAAAACTAACTGTGTCAATTCCCATTTTGTATTTGATTCCCCATAATTTAATCCCACCTCTCTCCCAAACACCCAAGCATTTACTTCTTTTACAACCCCATCTATAAATATATCAAACAACCATGGTGACTTTACACATCCCTGTCTAAGACCTACTTTTACTGGGAAGTATTCTCCCTCTCTTCTACACACCCTAACCTGAGCCTCACTATCCTCAAAAAACTCTTTACAGCATTTAGTAACTTACTACCTATTCCATGTACTTGCAACATCTGCCACATTGCTCCTCTATCCACTCTATCATATGCCTTTTCTAAATCCATAAATGCAATAAAAACTTCCCTACCTTTATCTAAATACTGTTCACATGTATATTCTTCAATGTAAACACTTGATCTTCACATCCCCTACCCACTCTAAACCTCCTTGCTCATCTGCAATCCTACTTTCTGTCTTACCTCAAATTATTTCATTAATAACCCTACCATACACTTTTCCTGGTATACTCAGTAAACTATTTCCTCTATAATTTTTACAGTCTCTTTTGTCCCCCTTCCCTTTATATAAAGAAACTATACATGCTGTCTGCCAATCCCTAGATACCTTCTCCTCTCATAGATTTATTAAAAAAAATACCAACCACTCTAACACTATATTACCCCCCCCCCCCCCGCGCCCGCTTTTAACATTTCTGTCATGATCCTGTCGGTTCCAGCTGCTTTACCCCCTTTCATTCTACATAATGCCTCACGCACCTCCCCTACACTCACATCCTGCTCTTCCTCACTCCTAAAAGATGGTATACCTCCCTGGCCATTGGATGAAATTTCCACCTTCCTTTCTTCATTGACATTCAAAAGTTCCTCAAAGTATTCCCGCCATCTACCCAATACCTCCATCTCCCCATCTACTAATTCCCCTACTCTGTTTTTAACTGACAAATCCATTTGTTCCCTAGGCTTTCTTAACTTGTTTAACTCACTCCAAATTTTTTTCTTATTTTCATTAAAATTTCTTGACAGTGCCTCTCCCACTCTATCATCAGCTCTCATTTTGCACTCTCTCACCACTCTCTTCACTTTTCTTTTACTCTCCATATACTCTGTTCTTCTTATAACACTTCTGCTTTGTAAAAACCTCTCATAAGCTACCTTTTTCTCTTTTATCACACCCTTTACTTCATCATTCCACCAATCACTTCTTTTTCCTCCTGCACCCACCCTCCTATAGCCACAAACTTCTGCCCCACATTCTAATACAGTGGACCCCCGCATAACGATGGCATCACATAGCGATTTTTCCGCATACCGCTTACTTTTATCGCAAAATTTTTGCCGCGCATACCGATTAAAAACCCGCTCACCGATTTTCGTCCGAGACGCGTCCAATGTGCCCTCACATGTGCCGCCCGTCCCATTGTTTACCAGCCAGCCTCCGCGGTAACATCCAAGCATACACTCGGAATATTTCGTATTATTACAGTGTTTTCGGTGCTGTTTGTGGAAAATAAGTGACCATGGGCCCCAAGAAAGCTTCTAGTGCCAACCCTGTGGTAAAAAGGGTGAGAATTAGTATGGAAATTAAGAAAGATTTTGAAGGGTTTGGGGCTAAACCCTGAGAAGCCTATGCCAGTTGTGGAATCCATTGTGCCTACTTCAAAGATTAAGGAAATGTGTGCACAGTGGGTTGAACTGCAAACCTTTATAGATGAAAATCACCCTGACACAGCTGTTGCAAGCCGTGCTGGTGACTTATTTCAATGACAATGTTGTGGGCCCATTTTAGACAAATCGTAAAGGAACGGGAGGTACAGAGCTCTATGGACAGATTTGTTGTGCGACAGAGGTCCAGTGACTCTCAAGCTGGTCCTAGTGGCATTAAAAGAAGAAGGGAAGTAACCCGGAAAAGGACTTGCTACCTCAAGTCGTAATGGAAGGGGATTCCCCTTCTAAACAGTAAGAAGATAATGCTCTCCCCTCCTCCCATCCCATCAATCATCACCAGATCTTCAATAAAAGTAAGTGTCATGTAATTGTGCATGCCTTTTTCAGTTTGTGTGTATTAAAATTAACATTTCATGTGGTAAAAAAAAATTTTTTTCATACTTTTGGGCGTCTTGCACGGATTAATTTTATTTCCATTATTTCTTATGGGGAAAATTCATTCGCATAACGATTATTTCGCATAACAATTATCCCTCTTGCACGGATTAAAATCTTTAACCGGGGGTCCACTGTACTGCATTTTTAAAACTATTCCAACCCTCTTCAACCACTCCACTACTCATACTTGCACTAGCCCACCTTTCTTCCAATAGTTGCTTATATCTCGCCCGAACTTCCTCCTCCCTTAGTTTATACACTTTCACCTTTCTCTTACTTGTTGTTGCCATTTTCCTCTTGTCCCATCTGCCTCATACTTTAACTGTAGCTACAACTAAATAATGGTCTGATATATCAGTTGCCCCTCTATAAACATGTACATCCTGGAGCCTACCCATAAACCCTTTTTTTTCCCCCAAATTTAACAAAATTTCTAACAAAAATTTCCCATTTCGTGCAAGTTTGCTCAGGCTAACGTAAGAGCAAAAAATTAGGAAAAAAATTTGGGGCATACCAAAAAAAACATCACTTTAAAACCCAAATATATTAAAGGGTTTTTGGGTTTAATATTTTTTGGCGCCCTGAAAGGGATTAATTGGGTTTGTTTTTTCCCTTTTGGGGAAAATTAATTCGGCAAAAAGGAAAAATTGGGTTTTAAAAGGGGCAAAGCTCTCTGGAATGGATTAATGCCGTTCCCCCGGGGTCCGCTGTACAACATTTTTTGAAGTTTATATATAAAATATATAACATACCCCCTCCAAATTGCCAATACCCCAAAACCCCTCCTTTAATTTGGTAAATTCCCATTAATTTTTAGGGGAAAATTTTTATTTCATTTTTCAGCCATTTCATTTTTAAAGGCCGGCCCTTTCCCAAACAGATAGCCCAGAAACCCAAAGGGTTCACTGTATAAAAAAAAAAAAAACTTGCTTACAAATTTTTATAATATGCAGTCAAAAAGATGATTCGGGTGTATTGATTTTAGGGTTTTTAAAATTTTTGACCCTTTAAGGAGGTGCCTTAAACATGGAAAAGTGGCTCTTAAACCCAAAGGGAAAACTGGCTTCCCTTTTCTATCCTTGGATGCCTTTAATCCCTTTTCATTTCCCAAGCAATATTTGCCCACAGTGGGTTTAGTCTTTCCCTGATTAAAGTAGAATTATGACTGAAAACTTTTATTAACGTAACTCTCATTTCGGGGTACAATTTTCATCTTATTTTATCTTTATGTTGGGAAGGGGTGTCCCCCCAATTTACTTGGTGCTGGGGGCCCAAAAAGGTTTAGCACTTCCTGTGATTAAAAATTTTTATGGTTAAACGAGCATCATCTACATTATATTTTCAGTAATGCCCTTTATGCAAAATTGCCCAAAAAATTTTTAGCACCCAAATGGGGGTTAAACTTCATTTTTATTTATAGTTGTTTATAGGGAAAAATTTTCAGAGGATCCTTTATAATTTACTTTTCCCCCGCTTGAAAAAAAGAAAAAGCAAATAAGGCATTGAAAAATTTTTTCATATAAGGGCCCCTCCCCATTTGCAACGTACTGTTTACCCATTCCTTTGGGCTTAAAGACTGGGTCCCGAACCCGTATTTTTTACCCAAAAGTATATTAGGGCTGATTTCCCCCTATTTGGTTATTTCCCCTATTCTGGTTTTAAAAAATATTTAAAAAAATTCTACCAGAAAGGGTTTTAAATGTTTTCAAAATTTACATTAAAAAAAATACAAAAGGGTTTGGGTTTTTACACAGACTCACCCCTTAAATTTTGCCCTCACTTAGCCCACAAATTCATTTAAAAATGGATCTTAAGAATAGAACTCTGTTGTTAAGTGAGGGGTGGCCCGTGTTTTATCAAATTTAAATTTTAAAAAAACAAAAATTTTTTTACAAGACTTTAGAAACTAAAATTTTTAAAATTTTTTTAAAAAGGCCCTGCTTATGTAGAGCTTTTTTTTGGGGGGGGGGGCAAGCTAAAATTTGCACTAATTGAAATGTAAATCAATGCAATTCACCAGGTTGACTTTGACCGCACCAAGCACCTGTCAGAGTACTCCATCAAGAAACGTGCAGCGGAACGAGAGAAGTTGATTGCAGCAGAGCGTGAGAAAGAGGAAAAGCTTCGAAGGAAGAGAGAAATGGAAGAAATGAAAATAGAAGCTGAAAGGTACTATTGCCATCCAAACAAAGTGAATGCTGCTCTTAGTAATCCTAATATAATTTAGCAGTGTATACTGTTCATTAGTACAGTACAGTATACTATGTGTAAATAGCATTTTATATGACAAGTTAATTTTTTAGATACATTTCTGTGGAGACAAAAACGTTATCCATGGAGGCACAGAAGGGAATGTACAAGAGTATAGTGGTACCAACACTTATATGGGTGTGAGGCATGGGTTGTAAATGCTGCAGCAAGGAGGAGGCTAGAGGCAGCAGAGATGTCGTGTCTAAGGGCAGTGTGTGGTGTAAATATTATGCAGAGGATTCATAGTGTGGAAATTAGGAGGAAGTTTGGAGTTACTAAAAGTATTATTCAGAGGACTGAAGAGTGGTTGTCGAGGTAGTTTGGTCATTTAGAGAGGATAGAGCAAAATAGGATGACTTGGAGGGTGTATAAACTTGTAGTGGAAAGGAGAGGTACAGGTCATCCTAGGAAAGGATGGAGGGAGGGGGTAAAAGAGGTTTTGTGTGCAAGGGGCTTAGACATGCAGCAGGCACTTAGATAGGAGTGAATAGAGACGAATGGTATTGGGAACCTGACGAGCTGTTGGAGTGTGAGGAGGGTAATATTAAGGCTATGGAATATGAAGCAAGAGTTTAGTTGACATGGTTGACAAGTGATCTTGTATTGTTTCTGCAGAATTTTTTTTTTTTCCCGTATCCTGTACCAAATGCTTTGCATGTACCATGGCTTTCTCAGCTGGCTTGATGACAAGTGAACTATTGGCTAGACCTCATTTTTCTTCCATCCAATTTCACTGGAGAGTGATATGGATCACCATTTTGCTAGTTATGTGCCAAAGGTGTTTCAAGTGTTCTGGCAGCACTCTTAAAGACATTCCAGGGATTATCCCTAGCCTTTGGGCATTTGAACTACCATTGACTATCCTCCACTGTGGCACAATTAATAAAATCTCAAGTCATGGTAGTTTGTGCTCAAGTAGTCGCTGTGCTTGGTGAGAGATGGCTAATTTGTTCTTCAGAAAGGCAGATTTTCATGGTGTAAAGCAGTTTGACCATTCACTGTGCCTTATGTAGAGCACCTGGGTATTAGAAGGTGAACTTTAAAATTGTGGCTAGGGTTGACAGTAATCCAAGCGAGTCAGGTTATCATTCACATTTTGGCTAGAAAAGGATAAGTGCCAGATCATAGGATAAGTAGGAGCCACTGTAGAGTGAAGAGCAGTTGGTGTCTAGGTGGCCAGGTCTTTGTTATAACTGGCTAGTTAATGCCAGGACCAAATACAAGGCCTTTGAGGATAACATTCAAATAGGTTCTGGAGGAGCAGAAACATGGGCAGCTATTATAGGGAGAGAAAGTGCAGAGTAGTCTTTATTGAGCCTAGAAAGATGAGTATTGGGTGTGACTGTTGCTTTGTTTTGCTCCAGGCAAGCCATTAGGGTAATAATTGAAATGTGTAATTACACTTAATGGTAAACTGTTAATAATTCATGTGTGAAATTCGTGACTCCAGTACAGTGGACCCCCGACATTCGATGGCATCGACATTCGATAAATCCGACATTCGATGCATTTTAACGCAAAAATTTCGCCTTGACATTCAATGGAAAACCCGACATTCGATACGGTTTGTACGAGACGTGTCCACGTGTGGCCTGAACTGCACCGTGTGTGCCAGTGTTTACAAGCCATCCAGTGTGCGCGCATCTAAGGATACATTCGGTACATTCCATATTATCCATATTATCACTGTTTTTGGTGCTTGTTTCTGCAAAATAAGTAACCATGAGCCCCAAGAAAGCTTCTAGTGCCAACCCTTCGAGAAAAAAGGTGCTAATGACTATTGAAATGAAGAAAGAGATAATTGCAAAGTACGAAAGTGGAGTGCGTGTGTCGGAGTGCATGATGATTTGGTAAAGAAATTGCCTGCAACTAGTGATGTGAGTGAATCTAAGGCCAGCAAAGGTTGGTTTCAAATATTTAAGAATTGTAGTGGCATACACAGTGTGGTGAGGCTGCCAGTTCAAGTCCTAATGGAAGGGGATTCCCCTTCTAAACACTAACACCATCCACACACTCCCCTTCTCCCATCCCATCAATCATCACCAGATCTTCATTAAAGGTAAGTGTCAATTATTCTATTGTTATTAATCCATTGTTATTGTTGTTATTGTAATTATTCTATTGCATTAAACTTAATATTTCATGTGGTAAAATTTTTTTTTCATACTTTTGGGTGTCTTGCATGGATTAATTTGATTTCCATTATTTCTTATGGGGAAAATTAATTCGACTTTCGATATTTTCGACATTCGATGGCTCTCAGGAACGGATTAATATCGAATGCCGGGGGTCCACTGTATTTGATAGGGTCTTAGCTCCAATGTAATGGATAAAATGGTTTTCTCTGTACTAGTAAAAGATAGTAGTTTCCTTGTGTTTAAATAATCAGTATTAAAAATTTTTAAATGTCACAATTATATTATTTTTGTTCCTAGGAAGATGCTGAATCTGTAAATGCAGTACCTGGGTAAATACAGATAATAAAGTTTGATCCAGCATTAAGGCAACCTATAAAGGAAATTTTTTTTTATATATAAACAGGATGAGATTAGAAGAGGAGCAGAAACTCAAAGAAGAACGAAAAGAAGCTAAGAGAAAGGAGAAGGAAGAAAGAAGAAAGGCTAGGGAAGAAAAAAGACGAAAAAAGAGATTAATGAAAGCAGAAGAAAAGGTCAGAAAAGAGGAGGAGGAAGAGGAGGCAAGGTTTGCTAGGAAAATTGCTATGGAAGAACGCAAGCTATTGCTGGCACAGCGCAAGTTAGAGAGCATTCGTCTGTTGGATGAACTGTTTGAAAGAATAAAGGTGAGTCAAATATCTATGTGACTGGGAGAAAGAGAGAGAGAGCTAGCATGAGAGATTGCGAGTGTGAGAGAGCGAGCATTCTCATGCAAGAGAGCAAATGTGCAAGAGGGACAGCGAGTGAGAGAGAGAGATCCAGTGTGAGAACACTCAGTATATACTGTATACACTAAGATCAGTACTAAGAATTCTGTATTCATGCATGAATGTCACTTACTAATATCAAACCAAACAAAGTGCT